AGATCGTTTATCAGGGCCCACGCGAGAACGTTCTAGAATTCTTCGAGAACATGGGGTTCAAATGCCCCGAAAGAAAAGGAGTCGCCGATTTTCTCCAAGAAGTCACCTCAAAGAGGGACCAAGAGCAATATTGGTGCAAGACTAATCAAAATTACCGTTATATCCCCGTCTCTCAATTCGCGCAGGCGTTCAATTCTTTCCACATTGGTCAAAATTTCGTGGACGAGCTTAGAGTACCGTACGATAAATCGAGAGCTCACCCCGCGGCTTTAGTGAAGGAGAAATACGGGATTTCGAATTGGGAGCTTTTCCGAGCTTGCTTTGATAGAGAATGGCTATTGATGAAACGGAGCTCGTTTATTTATATTTTCAAGACCACGCAAATTACGATAATGGCCACTATTGCTCTAACTGTTTTTCTCAGGACGGAGATGAAATCGGGTCAAATAGTCGACGCTTCGAAGTTTTGGGGAGCTTTGTTCTTTAGTCTCATTAACGTTATGTTTAACGGCATGCAAGAATTGGCGATGACGGTTTTTCGGTTGCCCGTTTTCTTCAAACAGAGGGATAGTTTGTTTTATCCCGCTTGGGCTTTTGCTCTTCCGATTTGGGTTCTTCGTATTCCGATTTCGGTACTGGAATCGGGATTGTGGATTGTGCTTACTTATTACACCATTGGTTTTGCACCTTCTCCTGTCAGGTAAGTTTTTTCCAAATGAAATATTTGATGATATTTTTTTAGTTTATTGCATTTAGTACCCCTATGTCATAAATATTAGCAAAAACTCGCTTATAAATGCTTTATTTTAGCATACAACCCCCTAGATAGTGAGTTTTTTAGGGGGCAGTTTGCTAAAAAAAGATTTATATTGGTGTGTTTTGCAATTAGAGAAAATGCAGGGGTGTTGAATGCAATAAACCCTTTTTTTTTGGATGATTTCTTGATTTTGGTATTATTACAACATTTTATAGGTTCTTCAAGCAATTCTTGGCATTTATTGGGGTGCATCAAATGGCTTTGTCTTTGTTCCGTTTTATCGCAGCTGCCGGAAGAACCCAAGTTGTTGCTAATACGCTGGGATCTTTCGCTTTGTTGCTTGTTTTCGTTTTGGGAGGCTTTGTTGTCGCAAAAGGTGAAATAAAAATTCACTTTTGTAATAATTCAATCTTCGATTATTATTACAATATTCAATGGAAAATCGATCGTTAGTAAGAAATTCGAATTCCCGTTTCTTTTGGCAGATGATATTCAAGATTGGATGATATGGGGGTACTATGTTTCTCCTATGATGTACGGACAAAATGCTATCGCGATAAACGAGTTTCTTGATGATAGATGGAGTGCAGTAAGTTCATATACATATATCCTTAAAAATTTCGAAAGTATATTTACTGCATTTTACGACAACTAAATGTTGGTTTTTTTTTTTTTTTTTTTTTTTTTAAATTCAGCCTACAAATGGATCAGAGCCAACAGTTGGAAAGACACTACTTAAGGACAGAGGTTTATTCACAACAGAATCTTGGTACTGGATTTGCATTATGGCTCTTTTCGGATTCTCTCTTCTTTTCAACGTCCTCTTTATCGGAGCATTGACATACTTAAATCGTAAGTAGAATTAAACTACTCGAGTTTTTCGTATTTCGTCTTTTTTTTTTTTTTTAATTTGGGATTATATTCAACTGTTTTCTGTTCTCAAAATTCAGCTCTCGGTGATAATAAAGCTATCATAAGTGATGAAAGTGATGAAAGCAAGAAGAAGAGACAAATTACATCAAATGCTCGAGGTAACGTGATTTTGTTTATAACTTTAGAAAATAATCTAAATTTAATGGTAAATTACGGTCACCTGTAAGGTAAGGTCAAATTACGAAAAAACTTTCATGTTTGGGTAATTAGAATCAGCCCCCTTTCAATTATGAATCTTCTTATACGTCCATACGCGCAATATCAAATTTAGTGAAGTCTTCTAGATTATGCGGAATATTCTCCAGTTTGTACTCGTTTTACACCATTCGAGCTCGACATTTTGAAACAAGATGATTATAACATGTGTCTCTTGACTTGTAAATATCATATTGTGGTGTTTTAGAAACTGCATTTTCGCACAAACGAGTACAAACTAGAGAACATTTCACGGTATCCAGAAGATTTACACCGTAAAGGTGAAAGTATAAAAAGATTCATAGTTGATGATGGTGGTTTGTAATTACATAAATAAGAGGGGTGTTTTTGCAATTTGATATTTCCCCAGGGGTTGATCATAATTTACATTTTGTCCAAAAAATAAAAAACTTAGTAATTTGTAATTGATGAATAACAGGTGTTCAAATGTCTGAGATGAATGCAACTGCAACTGCAAGTGAGCCCAAAAGGGGGATGGTTTTGCCATTTCAACCCCTCTCTCTAGCCTTCAACCATGTCAATTACTACGTCGATATGCCAGCTGTCAGTCTCTCTCTCTCTCTCTCACACACAGATACACACACTAACATGTGAAAAAAAAAACTGAGTTTTTTTTTAAATAATTCAGGAAATGAAGACGCAAGGGGTAAACGACGAGAGGCTCCAGCTGCTCCGGGACGCCAGCGGAGCATTCCGGCCAGGTGTTCTGACAGCGTTGGTCGGCGTGAGTGGCGCCGGAAAGACAACCTTAATGGACGTTCTCGCCGGCCGGAAAACCGGCGGCTACACAGAAGGAACAATCACCGTTTCGGGATATCCCAAAAACCAAGCAACCTTCGCACGTGTCAGCGGATACTGCGAACAGAACGATATCCATTCGCCTTACGTCACCATTTACGAATCTCTCCTCTACTCTGCTTGGCTCCGTCTCGCCGCTGACGTCAATACTGAAACCAGAAAGGCAAGTTTTAAAAAAAAATATCGATTTTTCTAATTACATTTACCTCCCCTGGGTTTAGGTAATATTACAATTACACCCCTCAATTGTGCAAAATTGTATATGCCCCCCTTTAAGTTTGGTCTTATTACGAATCAACTCAAATGCAGCAATTGACAATTTTATCCTCACCAGAAAATCAATTTTATTCGTTGACATCGTCATTTTTCTGTTAGTCAACGGTCAAATGGGGTACAATTGTTGACTGAAATCAAAACCTGAGGGTGTCTGGGTGTAATATGAACTAACCTCAGGGATGGGAGGTGTAATTTTTTTCAAAAGAAATATTTATTAATTTATTTTTTATGATTTTTTTCAGATGTTTGTTGAGGAGGTGATGGAGTTGGTTGAACTTAACCCGATAAGGAACGCGCTCGTAGGGCTTCCAGGTGTCGACGGGCTTTCGACGGAGCAGAGGAAACGGCTCACGATAGCGGTTGAGTTAGTTTCGAACCCTTCGATAATATTTATGGACGAGCCCACTTCGGGCCTCGATGCAAGAGCCGCTGCTATCGTTATGAGAACCGTTAGAAACACGGTCGACACCGGTCGTACAGTCGTGTGTACCATTCATCAACCTAGTATCGATATTTTCGAAGCTTTCGATGAGGTAATAATAATAATAATAACATAGATGGCGAAATACCATTTTTGCCCCCCCAACTTGTATGTCAATTTGCACATTGCCACCTTATCAATTCTTTTTTTGCACGATTTTTCCTGAACTCAATTATTTGTTGTATCGTGCCCCTATTTCCATTCGAAATTTGGAGGGAACCCTAGTTGAAAGGGGTAAAATTGTCAACAATTTGTTTACACAATTTTCCCTTGACTCAATTATTTGTTGCATCTTGCCCCTATTTCCGTTCAAAGTTTGGATGGAACCCTAATTGTAAGGGGTAAAATTGTCCACTTAGCTTTGTTTTGACATGTCTGCTTACAATAATCAAATAATAACTGCATTTTGTTTTAACATATGCTAATTTATGTCCTCTGCAGCTGCTGTTAATGAAGAGAGGAGGACAAGTAATCTACGCTGGACCACTCGGTCGGCAATCGCACAAACTTGTCGAATATTTTGAGGTGATTTTTTTTTTTAATATCTTATTATTCGACGAAAATTTGATGTAAAAATCCGAAATATTGAATTTAAATATTGTTTTATACACAGGCTGTTCCAGGGGTAGCCAAGATTAAAGAAGGATATAATCCAGCTACTTGGATGTTGGATGTCACCTCCTCCGCTGCTGAAGGTCAACTCGATGTTGACTTTGCCGAAGTTTATGCCAACTCTGCCCTTTATCGGTAAGCGAAAAAAACCGGAGACAAAATGCATGCCTCAATAATTTCGATACTATTTCTTGATTTTATATTTTTCTTCTTCTTCTTTTAGGAGGAATCAAGAACTGATAAAAGAACTGAGCAATCCGCCACCTGGATCATCGGATTTATATTTTCCGACACAATATTCGCAATCTTTTTTAACTCAGTGCAAAGCTTGCTTTTGGAAGCAGCATTGGTCATACTGGAGAAACTCGCAGTACAATGCTATTCGTTTCTTCACGACGGTGGTTATAGGCGTTATGTTTGGCGTTATCTTTTGGCAAAAGGGAGATCAAATGTAAGCTAAAAAAAAATCCCGTTTTTTTTTCGATCATATTTAATTTAGAAAAACAACGAAAAAAATCACCCCTTTTTTTATCTTTCAAATAAACAGACACAGGCAACAAGACTTGCTTAATCTATTGGGAGCAACGTATTCTGCTGTTCTTTTCTTGGGAGCATCAAATGCTTCGGCAGTTCAATCAGTTGTCGCAGTCGAAAGAACCGTCTTTTACCGTGAAAGAGCCGCTGGAATGTACTCGGAGTTGCCTTACGCATTTGCACAGGTAATTTTTTTTTTACCCATTTTCTTGATCCATGTGTCCTAAAATATTTAGTGGGGTGTAATTTTTTTTTTTTTTTTTTTTAATTACAGGTGGCGATCGAGACAATCTATGTCGCGATTCAGACATTAGTGTACTCGTTACTTCTCTACTCGATGATTGGATATCAATGGACCGGAGAAAAATTCTTCTATTTCTACTACTTTATATTTATGTGCTTCACTTATTTCTCGATGTACGGTATGATGGTTGTGGCTTTAACTCCCGGATATCAAATTGCCGCCATTGTTATGTCCTTTTTTCTCAGCTTCTGGAACTTGTTCTCCGGTTTCCTCATCCCACGTCCCGTAAGTATATATCTATATCTATATCTATATATACGTAAAAAAAATTCAAGAAATGAACAATTTTTTTTTCCTTTTTATTTTATGAATAATTGCAGCTAATACCGATATGGTGGAGGTGGTACTACTGGGCTTCGCCGGTTGCATGGACAATATACGGGATTTTCACGTCGCAAATAGGGGATCAAACGGGAGATCTTGAGCTAACGGGAAATATCGCAACGATGAAAGTGAATCAGTTTCTTAAAGAGGAATTAGGGTACGATCACGATTTTCTTATCCCGGTGGTGTTTGCGCATGTCGGATGGGTGTTGCTCTTCTTCCTCGTTTTCGCGTACGGGATAAAGTTCCTCAACTTTCAAAGAAGATGATTGTGAGAAATTAATTTTGAGGTTTTCGTTTGGGAAATGTTGTTCCATAATTATTTATTTTAATTTGGTTTTGAACTTTGTTTTGAAGTTTATTGAGATACATTTGTCTGTTTATAGAGAGCAACTACTTTTATTTGTATTTTTTTTATATAATAATTATGTAAATCTAGGGTCGGAAATCAAAACGGAATCTTCGAATTCCACCGATTCTGATCAATGTATTTCATTCCGATTTCTCCAATTTTTCCGTGAACAAAAAGAAATTACAAAATTCCAGTCTTCAAAATCCAAAACAGCAAGAATATGATAATATCAAGAAAAACAATTAGTGGACAAAGTACGAGGTAAAAATAGTTCATTTGTTTGGTTGGAAATAAAATGCTACTAATGTAAAGTAATTTGGTATTTCAACCTAGCATTTTACATCCAACCAAACAAATTATATTTCACCTAGCATTAACAATTCTCCACAATGGTGAGAATCTCGTTTTTGCTCTTCAAAAGGCACCGTTTCTTGGTGTCGGAGTCGAGTTTATCGAGATCCTCCGCAATTCCCAGATGACCGTACAAAAGATCTTCCTTTTCTCTCTCCGACGATTGAACATAGTTTCTGTGCAATCTCTCTGCTTCTAGTAATCCAGAAAGTGTAGCGTTGAACTTCACCACCATCGTACTTTGATTTGCAGGTTCTCCATTGCATACTTTAAGAATGCTTTGGAATCCCATCTCTATACGAAAATATAAACAATTTAGAAAATACCCGAAACAAAGCTTAACCAAAAAAAAAAAAAAAAAAGTCCCAATTGAAAATTAAGACGATCGATGACAAAAAAGAATCAGAGAAAAAATATAACCTGTGAGTTTCATATGCAGGTTGTCAGTGGATAGAACAACCCCTTCATCGGTAGTGTTATGAAAAATCACGAGTGGGGGCCAAATAATGATGTCTTGTTTCAAAGCTGAACTCTCGGCACTGGAAATGGGCTCACAGTGCCACTCGCTGCTCGAATCTTCCGGAGCCTTCCAGTCCATCAGCACACAAAGTGCTTTGTGAAACCCTAAATGCTGAGATCTAAGGCCAGCCTTTTTCGACGTAAACGCGTGCATTGCCAAGCTTTCTGTCTCTACAAACTCGTCCGAGTCGCTGAAACAACACTCGGCCAACAAAAATAAAATATTACTACTTTTGAGTTACGAAGGAATATATTATCTGAAAAAAACATATGGAAACATTTTATATCAGAAAGAACACATGAAGTGCCATAAGCACAAAACCCGAAGTCGCGCATATATATATATAATCACGTTATAGTGTATAACTAGCGTGAAAAGAAAAATGGCTTCGGTGCCCTAAGTAAGACCTCGTGAAGTGCCGTAAGCACAAAAACGAGACCTACTTCTGCAATGCTTCAACCAACGCCAACTACGCCAGCCATACACTACTCCCAAATTCCATACTAAACATTCTTTCGGAAACGTCATAAAGACTGATGCTGTCTTTGCCTTTTCCAAACTCTATGCACATGGACATTGAATTCCATTTTTTCCCCTAATGCTACATACTTAACCTATCATGGTGTGGGACCCACATGGTAATAAACTAAAATATATTATTACTAACGATAATAGAAACACACACACACACACACACGAGGCCAGCCAGCAGTGAAAATTCTCAACAACACTGTTCGAAAGAGAGTCTCTACTCGGAGGGAAATCGGGAGCTCAAATGACAATTTTGTACGTTCCACCACAGAATGACACTAGAATTTGAAGTTGACTTCTCATGATCTTCCCATGGGATTGCATTTGCAAGACGACAAAGATTCCTCAAAGTTAGGTGAATGATGAATGATCTCATGTGAAATAATGACATGAGATCAGTAAAAACTTCTTACTCGGATGCTCTAAAAACAATTAAGCACAAGAAAAAACGGGAAGATGTTTAGTAGTTTATCTCCACTAGAAAACAATTCACAGACCTGCCGCATACAATGCACTTTAAACTACCAGCTTCTCCTCGCTCCGTGTACATCTTTCTTCTCGTCAGCGTCTCATTCATCTGTTTCAGAAATTTGAAACACGCGCTTTTCACCAGCTGCTTGAAGTCCCGAGACTTCTCCGAAGGTTCAGGCTTCGCACGAGGAAGATCGTCTTCCAAGTGGGCCCCACCAAGATCGTGAGGAATTACATCCGAATCATCTTGGGTTGTCGTAATTCTGTCACTAGTCCGATTTTTCACCCATGGAAGAGAACGTTTATTTGTTGGAGCAGGTGCCAAACGCTTCTTTATGGAAGGCTTATTTTTTCTCACCAAACGCTGCAAAACGTGCAGCTTCTGAGGAAGTGGTCCCAATCGATCCTTCACGTCTCTAGAATCAGATAAACGGGTTTTGACCGAACGCCGTTTTGAAGAGGCTGGCCGGTCATTTTCCTCGTACTTAGATTCGCTATATTTGGGCTTCTTCTTCGACAAATTTACAAGATCAATTTCATCTCCTGCATTTACTTGGTGGTTGTAAATCTTCCTAGCACCATTCCTGTCAGTAGATATTCTGATCCCGGCATCGTGCTCAGACAATAGCTCATCCCTCACATGTTTGTGTCTCAGCCTCTTCTCAGAGGGTTCAACGAAGCTCTCATAAAGTCTGCCAAACGAGGGGTCGTATGCTTTCGGCTGTAAGATATCCGATCTTTCAAAACGATCCGCCTCAGTTCTATCACTTCCATATCCACAATATTCTTCAGTTCCATAATTGAGGTGAGAGCTCTCATTACCCAACATATCTAGATCTTGCCTTTTAACACGTACTGATCCGCTCGCATCAAATTTATCAGATGTTGGCTGCAAGTACTCGGTAGGAGAGAAGCTATAAGGTGAAGGATAAACAAACTCGTCTTTGTATTCGTTTTCAACATCATTGATCCTTGTACTCATACCCCTTATTTTGCTTCGACCAAATCCAGCATACAGCTCGTCTCTTTGCTTCTCCTCAGGCAACCCAATACATAATCTTGAGTTACTCCTTGGGAACATGTTTTGCTTCTCTTCACTGTATCTATCGAAACCAATAGGCTGAGAAGCCAATCCACTCCCTCCTCGAATCACATCAGATGGCGTATTGAGTTCTCTACTGCCGGAGTAACTTTTAAACCCCTCCCTCAAAATCCGTGATGAATACGAAACATAATCCTTAGGCTGAGATGATGATGATGAAACCATATAGTCGGAATCTCCCTTCAAATAGCCTCGTGGAGAAAGAAGGTCGTCTTCTTTCTTGAATTTGTATATTTCTCTTCCTTCTGTTTTGGTATCGTTTTTCTTTTCAAAAGAGTGAGATTCTCGATCGGGCAAGCCACCGTATTTTTTCTCCGTAGCAAGTTCGCCCCGGAAATGAACATATCTCGATTTATCAGTATCGGTATTGTTCAAATACCGTGATGCCACAGATGGCATCTGGCTGCTGCTACCATTGCCACCACTGAAATTACTTGCGGGTATACGTTCAACACCACCATCACCCAATCTGTAAGAACGAGACTGCGTCATTCTCCCTCTCTCGTATTCTAGGGGGACGGGCTTGACCCA